TGTATACCTCTTTTTAAATTCAGATACAAGGTAATTAACTAATGCATTATCAAAATCCTATCCTCCCAAGAATGTATCTCCATTTGTAGATTTTACTTCAAAAACGCCCTTTTGGATTTCTAAAATTGAGATATCAAAAGTACCTCCACCTAAATCATAAACAGCAATGCTGAAAACACAAAAGAACAATACAAATAAATCCCATCTATTTTCCCTTTACAAAATATATAAAATATTATCGCCACAGCTTTCAGAAAAATATCTCAATATGTTTAAGATACATGGATTTTTCAAAAATAAGAATTATATTACACAAAGCTTTTCAAGTCCTTTCATATTATATAAATCAATTTAAATATAATTTTCTTACATTTTATCTTCCTGTTTATCCATGCCATATGCAAGTGCAGCTGCAGTTGGTTCGTTTATAACTCGAAGAACATTCAATCCAGCTATTTGTCCAGCATCTTTTGTTGCTTGTCGTTGTGAATCATTGAAATATGCTGGTACAGTAATAACAGCATTTTTTACTGGAGTATTCAAATAAGCTGCAGCCGTTTCCTTCATTTTCATAAGTACAAATGCTCCTATTTGACTGGGAGAGTACATTTTCCATCAGCACCTTGTACCCATGCATCTCCGTTGGATGCTTTCACAATTTTATATGTTACACTTTTCCTATAAAAATAATATTATATAATAGTAATAATATTAGCAAATATAATTATATTATAATAAACTGTGTAAATATAATATGATGCTTACATATCCTTTTTTACTTCAGGATCTTCATATCTTCGTCCAATTAATCGTTTTGTTGCATAAAATGTATTAACAGAATTTGTTACTGCTTGACGTTGGCAGGCATGCCAACTAAGCGTTATCATCTGAAGAGAAAATTTATTTATTGCAAAGAAAAATCAAATAGACAATGGTTAAATTAAATGAATACAAAATTAAATAAAAATATTCCAAAATTGTTTCTTTCCCATTGTACTCATTTTATAAATAATTGTAATTCATAGATTACAATATAAAAAAAATAATAAACTTTTAAATATATTATTTGATAATAAATTACCTTTCGTAAATGCAACATAAGAGGAGTGGTCCTAGAACCTTCTGCATTTTCTATAACTTTAGCTTGTTTGCCTTCCATTACTGCTAACAGGAGAATGTAGTTCCAAGATCGATACCAATAACTGCACCTTTTACACCTTCGGATCTACAAAAAATGTTTTAAATGTCTTAAACTTATTCTAATCAGGGAAACATATATAATTGATATATATTTCTTTTCAATTACTTACTTATGTCGATACTGTTGTAAATCGGTAAGTCGATGTGATATAGTAACCGTTGAAGCTGCAACCTATAAAATATTAATATAAATTTATAAATATACAAATAAAAAATAATACAGAGTTGTTACATAATCAACAAATTATTTATCACAGAAGATCGTATACGATTATAAAAATTTTGTGGAATAAGTTAGAGAAAACGAATACAATTACAAAATACTCAAGAAAGACATTAATAATATATATATATACATTTTTTTTAAACAAATGAAGCAATATTGATTTTATCACAAAAATATATTTTCATTGTAACCAGGTAGATTTTGTTATAGAAAAAATCTATGTAATAAAACTATCTTGAAGCGAATAATGTGATCAATTATATTAAATAATAGTAATAAAATACAAAAGTACAGAGAAAATCGAGCATATTAAAAATCTAAAAGCGTTTGCGAGGCGTGAGGTCCACTCACGTGCCGGCTTTAAAATCGGCGTCATGGTGGAATTAGGTGTGGCGAAAAATTATGCGATGCGTAATCGCGAAATAATCCAGAATCTATCGCATAAGACAAAAAGCGCTGCAATAAAGACGCATCTCACGTTAAACGACGTACAATTAGCGACGTGCAAAGGCTAGGAAAAAAATCCGCGATGATGTTGCTCTACAGTACTCACATTTTTCAAAATCGTGCTGAATTGTTGCTTCCTCGCGATGTCACACGCGACACCGACGTAATTGCGGTTCAGTAATCTCGCGGTCAACATTTTTTCCTTTCGATACAAACTTAATAAGGAATCGGCAGAAAACGGCGGTATTCTTCCAGCTTCACGTGTAATGATGCAACTCCCGTGAAGACCTGCACAGAAATACCATACCATGTGCCATGCGCGCATCCGCTCGGCGACCGAAGGACCAATTACGTTCGACTTCCAACGGTATGGACCAATAGCGATTGCGCACAGTCATCTCGAGTCATTCCGCCTATCGTGGCTAGTGTAAGATCCGGAATGTTCTATCGAACGCGAAGAAGATTACGTCATCGTAATCGAGATGTCATAAGATCGATATCATTATCGAAATGAAACTAGTCACGAAACAACGGGAATATTCGCTATAATAGTTTTGAGTTATTGTTACGTTAAGTGCTTGCAAGAGAAATAAGTTAGAGTTGAAAAACAGAAAAATATTCAATAGCCGAGACTCCACATTGGTATATAAGAATTTTCCGAATTTATGTAAGGTATATATGTATAAATATTATGTATTCGAACATGTGTGAAATGTAATCTATTGATTCTCTTCAAATTTCAAAATTTTCAAATTCTGCTTTTTCCATAGATATATTTTTCGATTGGGAATGTTCTAAACAATAAGAATCGATTCCAAATACGACTGAGCATGTGAATTTTAAATATCTTAAAGTTTGACACTTTAAATTTTCGTTTCAAAATCGACACTGATCTATCATCACTTAAAGATTTTATTCGCACTTGGAAATGTCGCGTCTTTAATATATTAACGTAAATGTAACACTTGAATTTAAAAATTAATTTTTCATACGAAAAACGACAGCATTTCGATCGCAAGCCTCGTCAATGCAAAATAAAAATTTAAAATTGTGACCCAACTTTAAAATAAAGCAAATCCGAATACGCAATATCAAGTATTATCGTTTCCATAATTGTAAAAAATGATTTTCGATTGTAGTGGTACGCTTGAGAAAATACAGTAGTTTAAACAAAACTGTCAATAATAAATTTTTTCGAATTTCAAGATTTTTAAATTCTGCTTTGTACATCGATGTAACATTCACAACGAATGTCCCAAACCACAAGAAACGATTCTAAACACGACTGAGCATGTATATTTATAATATCTTAAAGCTTGTCACTTTTTAAATTTTTCGCTTCAACATCGAAATCGATCTATCTTCGCTTAAAAACTTTGAACGCACTGAAAATGTGTTTTTAATATATATTAATGTTAATCTGACAACTGACTATAAGGAATTAATTTTTTTAATACCGAAAATGATAGTACGTCGATCGCTCGCGTCGTCAGTCGAAAAATCAAAAAATCAAGTTTTTCCCAAATTGAAAATAACGCAAATCAAAATCAGCAGTCTTATTAAGAATCTATTATAGATGTGTGTGAAGTGAATTTTGTTTCGCTTGTAGTCGCACACTTTCAAAAATACAGCAGTTTAAACAAAACTGTCAAAGATGAATTTTTTCAAATTCAAGATTTTTAAATTCTGCTTTGTACATCAATGTAACATTCGTAAATGAATGTCCCGAACCACAAGAAACGATTCTAAACACGACTGAGCATGTATATTTATAATATCTTAAAGCTTGTCACTTTTAATTTTTCGCTTCAACATCGAAATCGATCTATCTTCGCTTAAAGACTTTGAACGCACTTGAAAATGTGTTTTTAATATATATTAATGTTAATCTGACATCTGACTATAAGGATTAATTTTTTTAATACCGAAAATGATAGTACGTCGATCGCTCGCGTCGTCAGTCGAAAATCAAAAGTTCAAGTTATTCCCCAAATTGAAAATAACGCAAATCCAAATCAGCAGTCTTATTAAGAATCGTTTATAGATATGTGAACTGAATTTCGTTTCGCTTTAAGTCGCACACTTTAAAAATACAGCAGCTTAAACAATACTGTAAGAAATAAATTTTTCAATTTGAAAATAAGCGAAATTTAAATCAGCAGTCTTATTAAGAATCTATTATGAATGTGTGAAGTGAATTTCGTTTCGCTTGTAGTCGCACACTTTAAAAAATACAGCAGTTTAAACAAAACTGTCAAAGATGAATTTTTTCAAATTTCAAGATTTTTAAATTCTGCTTTGTACATCGCATGTAACATTCGTAGGCGAATGTCCCGAACCACAAGAAACGATTTTTAAACACGACTGAGCATGTATATTTATAATATCTTAAAGCTTGTCACTTTTTAAATTTTTCGCTTCACAATCGAAATCGATCTATCTTCGCTTAAAAAAATTTGAACGCACTTGAAAATGTGTTTTTAATATATATTAATGTTAATATGACAGCTGACTATAAGGAAATTTTTTTAATACCGAAAATGATAGTACGTCGATCGCTCGCGTCGTCAGTCGAAAAATCAAAAGTTCAAGTTTTTCCCAAATTGAAAATAACGCAAATCCAAATCAGCAGTCTTATTAAGAATATATTATAGATGTGTGAAGTGAATTTCGTTTCGCTTTAAGTCGCACACTTTAAAAAATACAGCAGTTTAAAACAATACTGTCAGAAATAAATTTTTTCAAATTGAAAATAAAGCAATTTAAATCAGCAGTCTTATTAAGAATCTATTATGAATGTGTGAAGTGAATTTCGTTTCGCTTGTAGTCGCACACTTTAAAAAATACAGCAGTTAAACAAAACTGTCAAAGATGAATTTTTTCAAATTTCAAGATTTTTAAATTCTGCTTTGTACATCGATGTAACATTCGTAGGCGAATGTCCCGAACACAAAAAAAACGATTCTAAACACGACTGAGCATGTATATTTATAATATCTTAAAGCTTGTCACTTTTTAAATTTTTCGCTTCAACATCGAAATCGATCTATCTTCGCTTAAAGACTTTGAACGCACTTGAAAATGTGTTTTTAATATATATTAATGTAATCTGACAGCTGACTATAAGGAATTAATTTTTTTAATACCGAAAATGATAGTACGTCGATCGCTCGCGTCGTCAGTCGAAAAATCAAAAGTTCAAGTTTTTCCCAAATTGAAAATAACGCAAATCCAAATCAGCAGTCTTATTAAGAATCTTTATAGATGTGTGAAGTGAATTTCGTTTCGCTTTAAGTCGCACACTTTAAAAAATACAGCAGTTTAAACAATACGTCAGAAATAAATTTTTTCAAATTGAAAATAAGCGAATTAAATCAGCAGTCTTATTAAGAATCTATTATAGATGTGTGAAGTGAATTTCGTTTCGCTTGTAGTCGCACACTTTAAAAAATACAGCAGTTTAAACAAAACTGTCAAAGATGAATTTTTCAAATTTCAAGATTTTTAAATTCTGCTTTGTACATCGATGTAACATTCGTAGGCGAATGTCCCGAACCACAAGAAACGATTCTAAACACGACTGAGCATGTATATTTTATAATATCTTAAAGCTTGTCACTTTTTAAATTTTTCGCTTCAACATCGAAATCGATCTATCTTCGCTTAAAGACTTTGAACGCACTTGAAAATGTGTTTTTAATATATATTAATGTTAATCTGACAGCTGACTATAAGGAATTAATTTTTTAATACCGAAAATGATAGTACGTCGATCGCTCGCGTCGTAAGTGGAAAAATCAAAGTTCAAGTTTTTCCCCAAATTTAAAATAACGCAAATCCAAATCAGCAGTCTTATTAAGAATCGTATTTAGATGTGTGAATGAATTTCGTTTCGCTTTAAGTCGCACACTTTAAAAAATACAGCAGTTTAAACAAAACTGAAAAAAATTAATTTTTTCAAATTGAAAATAACGCAAATCAAAATCAGCAGTCTTATTAAGAATCGTTTATAGATATGTGAACTAAATTTCGTTGGCTTTAAGTCGCACACTTTAAAAAATACAGCAGTTTAAACAAAACTGTCAAAAATGAATTTTTTCAAATTGAAAATAACGCAAATCCAAATCAGCAGTCTTATTAAGAATCGTTTATAGATATGTGAACTAAATTTCGTTTCGCTTTAAGTCGCACATTTTATAAAATACAGCAGTTTAAAAAACTGTCAAAAATGAATTTTTTCAAATTGAAAATAACGCAAATCCAAATCAGCAGTCTTATTAAAATCGTTTATAGATGTGTGAACTGAAATTCGTTTTGCTTTAAATCGCACACTTTAAAAAATACAGCAGTTTAAACAAAACTGTCAAAAATGAATTTTTTCAAATTAAATTAACGCAAATCCAAATCAGCAGTCTTATTAAGAATCGTTTTAGATATGTGAACTGAATTTCGTTTCGCTTTAAGTCGCACACTTTAAAAATAAAGCAGTTTAAACAAAACTGTCAAAAATAAATTTTTTCAAATTGAAAATAACGCAAATCCAAATCAGCAGTCTTATTAAGAATCGTTTATAGATGTGTGAACTGAAATTCGTTTCGCTTTAAATCGCACACTTTAAAAATACAGCAGTTTAAACAAAACTGTCAAAAATAAATTTTTTCAAATTGAAAATAACGCAAATCCAAATCAGCAGTCTTATTAAGAATCGTTTATAGATGTGTGAACTGAAATTCGTTTTCTTTAAATCGCACACTTTAAAAAATACAGCAGTTTAAACAAAACTGTCAAAAATAAATTTTTTCAAATTGAAAATAACGCAAATCCAAATCAGCAGTCTTATTAAGAATCGTTTATAGATATGTGAACTGAATTTCGTTTCGCTTTAAGTCGCACACTTTAATAAATACAGCAGTTTAAACAAAACTGAAAAAATAAATTTTTTCAAATTGAAAATAACGCAAATCTAAATCAGCAGTCTTATTAAGAATCGTTTATAGATGTGTGAACTGAAATTCGTTTCGCTTTAAATCGCACACTTTATAAAATACAGCAGTTTAAACAAAACTGTCAAAAATGAATTTTTCAAATTGAAAATAACGCAAATCCAAATCAGCAGTCTTATTAAGAATCGTTTATAGATATGTGAACTGAATTTCGTTTCGCTTTAAGTCGCACACTTTAAAAAATACAGCAGTTTAAACAAAACTGTCAAAAATAAATTTTTTCAAATTGAAAATAACGCAAATCCAAATCAGCAGTCTTATTAAAAATCGTTTATAGATGTGTGAACTGAAATTCGTTTCGCTTTAAATCGCACACTATAAA